TTTTTTTTTTTTTTTTTTTTTTTTTTATTAATTTTCCTTCTCTCTCATTCCTCTGTTTCTTCATTGATATCCCTCTCCACCTGCCCTTCCCTCTTTTTTTTTAAATCACAGCCTTGTTGGAATTTCTCGAGCGATGCCGCATCGGGCTTACGCCGTATCTTTCAATAGGCGTTGATCTCGTCACCGTCATCAACGTCGGTCGCGATCACTCCTCGGCCAGGAATCGCAAGCTGAATAGATTCCGCGTCGATTGGCCGATCGGCCACGCTCAATTGTAAATCGAGCCCGAACGAATTATTTTTCTGGCCAGCCAATGTAATAAATGCGAAGTGTCTCTCGGTGCTCCCCCCTCCTCGCCTCTCCCCGTATAACGGAAAAGTACGCACCAATCGTACACTGCCGTCGTTATCAACTGTACAAACTCGTACTTTTGGGCCCGTGTGCGTAAAACGGCCGCAACGTGTGCCTCCTGCACCTGTCCCTCTCCCTCAGCCCCCCTCCATACAGACTCCCAAGCCATCTCGAGGATTTCGGCTGGACCGACGTTACGTCCGCGTCGGATCGCTTTACTTGCACACTCGCCCTAAACGCGTCGCTACGAATCATCTAGAATGGCATATAAAACCTACCTTCGAATATACGTAACCTACAAAGAGAGAATCCATATGCGATCGGGGGGTATCGATCGCCGTGTTAAGCTGGGGATTGTGACGATCGGATCCTCGAAATGTTTGTATGGCAACGATTAATTTTTTTTTCCTTTTTCTTTCGTACCCGCACAATCGGCGAGCGGCTACATCGAGCGAGCAATAAATACAAAGAAGATTAAGGGACGATACTTAATATAGATAATTTTGGAAAGGTAGAATAAAATCGAAAATATTTGTGTGTCGTGACTAGAGTGTAACCGCGATATCTCTTCTTCGCGAAGGACAATCGTCGTATCGTTTGGTCGGTCGTAGAGGCGCTGCGATCGCATACGAAGGGGTTCCTCTATAATACATTGTTCTCCTCGACACTTAATTTTTGTTTCTTCCTCTTTCTTCTCGTTTCTCTTGGTATCGTTGATAAAAGAAAAAGAAAAAGAAAAAGAAAAAAGAAAACTCTCTCGACGCACTTTCCGCTACCTTGTCGACGCCATGCAGCAGGGATGTCGGTTACGCGTCGTGCGTGTCCTGGACATCCTGTCGTCGTACGAGATCCTTTTTTTTTATCGGGAGATCGCTGCCGATCTCGCTGTACCGTCGGTATCTCTTCTTCTTGGTAAATGGTAAAGCCTGTCTACTAAACCCTAATAACCTCTAATAATTAACTAACTAGTATACTAGGTTGTTACGGTGGAGAGCGTTGTAGCGGTGATTCAAACTCATCACTCCTGATCGTCGAGCGTCCAATGGGCTCGCGTTGTCATACAACATCTGAAATACATCGAAGAGCAGATTGAAAAATTGTTATATTTTCAAAAATGAAGAAATTGAAGATTTTGAAAAAAAAGTTATAAATTGCGTCAGGTACACATCCGATTGACCTGACTCACTTACTCTGTAGGTTATGACGTAGGGCGCGACCCGGCCAGTTTGTCTAGGCTAGGACGTGGGTTAGTACGGCCGATTGGCTTCCTTGGGCCTCTTCAGCTGGACCTTTAATCGCTTCATCCCTATCTGGAAGCCGTTCATCGCCTGGATCGCTGCCTGCGCATTAGTCGGATTGTCGAAGGAAACGAAACCTGAAAGAGATCATTTCCAATTAGCGGAGGCTTATGGAGTGATACTGGTTTGATTTACAGATCTTTGAGATATGCCAAACGGCTGATGATATAGGGAGACTGTGAATCTGAAGGAAGATTATATATGCCAGCCGATATCGTAATTGAACCTATATTCGATCTGAACTTTCGATCGGGAACGAGACGCAAAATCATAGTCTGGAATAAAAAGTTTTAACGAAAGGTATTATCAGAGTTTCGTCGAGAGATCAGCGTGGCCCTCCTCACCCCTGCAGCCTGGGTAGAAATAGGCAGGGGACGCGCGATAATGAAGCAACCGTAGAAGCGTTCAGAAAAGGTCGTCAGGGATCTACTTCGTTTAAGCCAATTCCGACCATTACCCCTGATCCAATTTTAGCTCCGTCCTCGCGACGGCCTCCTACAGTCCGGCCGACGACGTCGTACAATCCAAATTCTCCTCCTTTTCCAGCGTCGTCACTTCCGGTTGAAAAGGAGATTCTTCTTAATCCGCTGATAGTTTATATTGACTAGGGATTTCAATAGAGCGGTCGACGGTATCATTCCCGATTTCGCTAATAGCAGCGACGCCAATAGGCGTCGGGACGCCCATAGCGTGTCTTATTGGTCGGATATCCTACGATATAAATTGATTTCTGCGCCTCCATTCGCATCATCCTGGTCATTGGTACCACGCAGTTACGTGCGTGGACTCGCTTATAGACGCAACCGGATATCCTCATTGTTCGGCTTATCAATGAAGTTTCCCAGGAAACTCACAAAGGATATCTTCGGCACGGCGCTGCTGATGGGCATTCTAGATGTCAGCCCAAACTATAAAGGGATTGCTATTCTGTTTCCATAAGGGTGGCCATGGGGATGATATTGGCGTCGAGACCTTGAAGGTCTATAAGGGACCTGGACCACTTGTCCTTAACCGGGCTCAGTCTTGGGGGAGATATTTGACATTAGATGCTGGAGATAGCGCGAATCGGTGAGGTCATAAAGATAAAATCGCTCCTGGGACTGAGCTTTGGGTTCTCCTAGATCTTCTCGACGGACCTGGTCCTCCGGAACCATTAACTAGGTAGGAAGGATGCAAATCTCCTTACCTTACCAATATACCTTATGGATATATTGAACAATCTTACGCAAGTAGCTAACATCGAATCATTCTTTCGGTTGGTTGGAAAGTTTAAGCGAATATGGATTCCGATTGCCGGAAATCGCAGAAGCGAGTTACCCTAGTCGGCCAAGGTAAGGGTTGCAGCAGCAGCAGGAGCAAAAGGAAATTCTTCCAATTACACTCGATCGGTATATCCATGAAAGCGAACGGAAGTAATTAAGCACAAGGGACGTTCGTTTCCACTTTTTTCTCCATCCCTTGGTACAGATCATCCGCAAGGGCTTCGCGGTTTCCATTGAAGTCCGAACGGGCATTGAGGCTGACGTCATATTTGACGGAATTAATATACCTCATCCCAAGCACCCTTCCCGCCCCCTTGGAATTTTCGTTCCTATCCAGAACCCTTTACGAGACTATAAAATTACGCGGAGACGGATAACGGATCATCCCAGAGGAGAAAAGGTATTTTCCTTTCCGTCAGTGGGAAACCTTCCTGAAAAGTCGATGGACTAGGAAGACTGAGGGAAGGAAACAAGAAATACGACATCAGGGGTACATTCGATACGAATTTCTGCGATTCTGCTTTGATCGTTCGATAAGGTGGATCCGAGCCCCTTGGCATCATCCTGGTTCTTGATAGGCTAACGAGGACCTAAAACCTTCCGAATCCTTTGGACCTCTAAGGTTAATGGAAGGATTCTTTCGAGGGTCCTCAAATTTTTTCTGGAGGCTCCATATAGAATCAGTTTCCCCTAGACGAGATTTTCCTTTTTCTCATGTCCAGGTGACTTACTTGGGATATTCGGCAGGTCCCTTCTCGAGTGCGTTAACTTTTGGGGCACCTCCCCACCCT